TGAAGGAGCCATCACCCATTGATCTCATTCAGGATATTGGCAAGTCTTAGGTGGAGAGAAAGTCAGTAGCCAGATATTAGAGTCCTCAATAAGTGATTAGGTCTAATAGTGTAGAGAGAAATTGTTATTACCTAATGCTCTGAATTGCAAAAAAAAAAAAAAAGGTGAAATTTATACTAAGTGGTAGAAAGTGTAGGTGACCAGAAATTGACAAAAATGAAACACCTAGTAAAAGTTACTTACCTAAGTGTTCTGAGTAGGTGTTAATTGGATTTTAATAATCTAAAACGCTGGGCTACAATTGTTGTTATGTACCGTTGAGTCGGACCCAACTCATAGCGACCCCTCCTTGAGTTTCCAAGGCAGTATCGCCACAGAAGTAGTAGATTGTCCAGCCTTCCTTCTGAGGAGTGGCTGGTGAGTTTGAATTGCTAGCCTTCTGGTTAGCAGTCAGGTGCACTAGTGATTGAAATTATTGTCTAAGATTCAGAAACAACTTGGTTGCAACCAAATGATTTCAGAATCCTGGAAATAAGACTTTGTTGAAAACTACTTGGTCCTGCTTGTCTTTCCAGCTATCCACAAAAGTATTTCAATAGAAATTTGAACAAGTACATCCCACTAACAAACAAGTATCTCAGCAAAGCAATTAAAAGAGTAAATTCTTGAAATTAACTGAGTAATGAAAACAAAGAAGCTACATTTTAAAACATTCTTTTTTTTAGTATTTGGTTTCCATGACATCCTTGGTTTGTATGTGAGATCAAATGAAAGGTAAGAAGCTCAAAATAAGGGCTAAACGCAAATGACTCTCAGATACTTTTGATATATTATTTTTTGCATAAATATTCAAATTGACCATTTTTAGGTATTCATGGAATTTCAGTTTTTCTATTACCTAATTATGAGTGCTTTTAATTCATTTTTCTTTTGAGTAGATAGTCACATTCTTGGAATGAGCAAAACACACATTGTGATTTTGGTATTGCACAACATTTATAGGGTGATATGTAATAGTCAAATAGATTAACTTTTTAAGCCTTTAGGTATTTGTTTTAGTAATTTTTGCTTATAAGAGTTGGTAAATCTTTGCTTTTAATATTAGATAGCAGGATGTATAAAGGTTGTGTTTATGTTAAATTTTCAAAAATCCTTTCTTACCAAAATGTCTCTGTTTTTCCATTGTTAAACTTTCCCCTCTCTGTACACATGATTATCAATACTAGAATTAGGGAATATCATTTCTGAACTCATAAACCTGTATGAAATAATGTGTATACTACAAGGGTAGTTTTTATAGGCAGTGAACAAAATCACATATATAAAATATTTTTATAGTTTTTATTTTAAAATGCATTTTATTGAAATATAATTTATGTGCAGTAAATACACAAAACTAAAGGGACATAGGTCAATGCATTTTTTTTTTTTTTTTGCAGTGTTCCTTTCCCTCCTCTCCCACCCTTGGCAACCAACAAAGAAAGTTTCCCTGTATATATAAACCTTTCCTTGACCCTCCACAACAACGAACTAATAATGTAATTGTCCTTCTGTGATTGACTTATTTCACTCAGCATAATGTCCTCCAAGTTCATCCATATTATGTGGTGTTTTGTAGACTCTACATAATTGTTTAGTGCTGCATAGCATTCCAGTAGGTGTATGTACGTAGTTTGGTCATCCACTCTTCTGCTGATGGGCATGTAGGTTGTTTCCATCTTTTTGCTATTGTAAATAGTGCTGTGATGAACATGAGCATGCATGTATCTGTTCCTATTCTGGCTCTTACCTCTCTAGGATATATACCTAGTAATGGGATTGCTGGGTCAAGTGGTATCTCCAATTCTAACTTTCTAAGGAATCGCCATATTGCTTTCCAGAGTGGTTGTGTCACTTCACAGTCACACAAGCAGTGTATGGGAGTCCCAGTCTCTCCGCATCCCCACCAGCATTTGTTATTTTCTATCTCATTGAACCTTCCCGTCAATGCTGGGGTGAGACGATATATCTCATTATTGTTTTGATTTACATCTCTCTGATGGCCAATGATTGTGAGCATCTTTTCATGGATTAGCTGACCACCTGAATATCCTCCTTGGTGAAGTGTCTATTGATGTCTTCTGTACCTTTTTTAATTGGATTGTTAATTCCTTTGCTGTTGAGGCATTGGAGTTTTCCTTCAATCTTAGAGATCAGTCCCTTGCCAGATATGTAATTATCAGCAAATATGAATTTGTTGCTGTCATTTTTGTCACGTGCTTTTTCATTGTGTCGATTTCTTTGTTCCATATAATTTTCTATGCTGAGCTCCTTTTGTTTATGAATCATGTTATCACTTCTTTCATTGCTATTGTTTTAGTATTTGCCGAATATTTATGCTGGTCCTCTTTTTTATTTTGATGTGAAGGTTTATCATTTTTCTTTGAGGTTACCCTGTGATTTATAGTTTTCTTCCCAAGTTTAGAACAGTCCGTTCTATCTTGTAGTTGTCTTGACTTCCCTACCATCTAGAAGTTCTGTAATGATGCAGATTTTTTTCCCTCTTTCTGGTTTGTAGTTGTCCTCATTTGTCAGTTGGTGTCTCTGGTTCCCTGTTTACAATCTTGTAGGCTTATTTACTTTGGATACTTCCAAGGTAGCTGGGTTGGTTTCTAGGTTATATCATCATGTGTGTTA